TCTTCCAAACCTTTTTAAGTTCCGTACACCAAAAAAAAAAAGGTTTCATAGGAAAGTACGAAACCTTTAAAGTTTCGCATCTAGTATAATAGTTTTATAGGAAACCCAGTACGAAACCCTAAAGGTTTCGTACTTTCCTACAAAACCTTTTTTTTGGTGTACGGAACTTAAAAAGGTTTCGAAGAAAAAAGGATCTTCACGTGGGTACACGATAAGATCCTTTAAAGGTTCCGGGTTTTTTTTATTCGGTTTTTGAAACTTTCAACACATTTGCAAACTTTTTGTCATCTACCGAACCTTTTTGTGAGGTTCCAGAAAGTACCTTTTTTTTTACAGTGTAAGGACCTATTGAAAGTGTATATGATAAACTCGATTTCCACATTATCTCTGTGATGATTTCTTATATCAGCATGCACAATAGTCGCTAATAATGATTTCATCGATTGTTGCTGATGAACATTCCCACTGTTATAAAACTATTTTTTCTAAATGCTATACCAAAAATTATATGAGATATCTTCTTTCATTGCTCTTGCCTGTAAAAATTTTGATAACCGTACGACTCGAAATACTTTTATTCCCATGGTGATCAATTATATCATTTTTCGACTATTCCGATAAAGTTCATAAAAGGTTCAATTGATAGATCGTCTAATCATTGATCATCATGTAAACAATCAGTTGCAATTGAACAATATGTAATACTTATTGGTTTGTATCGATGATCAGATATTTTTAATGATGGTGCGTTATGATGTTATAGGTATCAAAGTTATATTATATATGAAACTAGAGATGGCCAAGTCAAGTAACCTTTTGAGCTGAGACTTATTTTTACAATTTTTGACATCACTTTACGTGCTGTAGGTTAACAAACATATGGCTTCATTTGCCATGAAAACCTTTTATATGATTTTACTTGATTTGATTTGTGACACGATTCTACTTTTTTGACAAGTCATAAATCAAAATATGAAAGTGAATATAGTTGCATGATTTATGCGATTTATTCATGTCTACTCAAAAGTAGACATTCGAATACAGATGAAGGCGAATATTTTCGTATTTTTTGCATAAGAAGTGTAAAGATTTGAATAAAGAAAAGCTGTAACTTGCTCATCTTTGTATGGATCCATGTATTCATGGCATTAATGTTTACGAAGCAGCCGAATAATTGTACGGAATTCTCATAGATTGCAATTGTTAGTGCTAATTGAAATATTTCAGGTATTGACACACACATGAATTCAATTATAATAAACTGTCATTTTAATAATATTAATGATATAACTAGAATTCATTCATTTATTTCTCAAATCAGATAATATTCAATACATTCGATCTCTATGAGGTCATCAGCATCAATATGATAAATTTTTAAAACCTAGAGTCATCTTCAAAGAAGTTTAAAAAATTAATTATTTAACTGAGTAAATTTAAATAGGTTAGGTTCTATTTTAACGTATTTTAATCGAAAATCATCAACCTGTTTTTACTCGAAAACTTTTTATGCATTATTAAGATTTTATATCTAGCAAACTATACATTTGCAGGGCACTTCTTAACTAGATGTAATTCTATTTAACTTTTATTCAGAAATAGTTTTTTTTTTTAAATATATGAGTTCGAGGAAATTCGTTCATTATTTGTTAACATGAAGCTCGATGTTATGCATCGTTTAAAACCAGTTTTTAAATAATTGTTGATAACCGGAGCTTGCTTATGGCCTTGAGCTTTCTGTGAGGTTTGATATCAATCGACTCTTTCATTATCATTAGTGGTGTTCTAATTCAATTTTCTATATAGAAAGATGGTAATATCCAAGATGAATCACAATCCGACGGTGCAACTAGTGATGTAGCAACTGATGAAGAATGTTCCATTGATGAAGATCATGATCAAGAAACCATCGACAATTTTGTCGAAGGTGTAAATTCGGAAGAAGTCGTACTTGATGATTTACAACAAAAACTTCGAGAAGTTATTCTTATCGCACGTGATATTGTTAATACAACTAAAAAAAACGTCGATATTATCAAATTTTGAAAAAAAAAAGAATATATATAAATTTACATCATTCTAAAAATAAAAAGATAAAACGACGGTTGAGTATTGATGTACGAACACGATGGAACTCCACGTATAAAATGTTGTCTACTATGAATATTTATCGAGATGTAATAAACGATTTGTTCAAATCAAAAGGAAGTCTTGGCTTAACCTCAAAGCAACGACGTAAATTAACTCGTATTGAATTATCAACGGATCAATGGGATTTACTCGAAATGGTTATTGCTTTATTACAACCATTTTATTCGGCGACGAAGCTTTTAAGTAATTCCAAGTACCCAACAATAGGAGCTTCATTATATGTTATACGAAGTTTAGAAGACCTTTTTCAAAAAGATGAAAACAATCTTGTGTTAAATGCATTAAAATCAATGGGGTTAACAAAATTTCAAAAATATATGTTTGACGATATCGATCAATTTAATACTTTGAAAGTAAGCGATAGATTGTTTACACTTTTTATGTTAATAACCTTTATTCTTCGTAGTTATATGAATATCTTGATCCAATGGGCTTTTCCGCTCTTACAAGAGAAGAACAAGCTGCAATCGAAAAACAATTGATAACGATTTACAAAAAAGAATTTGAACCATCTGCATCATCCTCATCATCAACGACGATGATATCATTATCAACAGATACTCAACAACATGCAACAAAAGTGAATAAAATCGACAAGGCATGGCACGAATTTCTTAAATCCACCAATAAAGACCCACAACACGAAGCACCAACGACAAGTACAATTCAAAGTGAAATAAGATGCTATCGTAATTTAGCAACAAAGTTGTAAGTATGAAACGCATTATTCTAACTAATATAATTATAAGCAGCATTTTGTCTATTTGAAATGAGTTTTTGAAGTTGCGATAGTTTGTTCGTAGAGTTAAACAAAATTGTAAGCCTAGAGATTTAATCTTCTCAAACTTATGATTATACTAAGTTATATCTTTTACAAATTTATCTGAGACTTCCACCTGAAATTAATATTGATCTTCACTAGATTGTTGTCAATGAAATTGGAGCATATCATCGCAACTCTTGTTACATTGATTTATAATTAAACATAGCTAGTTTTAAAAAATGAGTAGAGATTATATACACTCAATATATTTCTTATATGATCACTCTTCATTGATGATACCCGAATTGCAAGAATTTCATGAAGTGTGACAAAACAAAAATTAATTTTGACTTTACCAATATAAGATTGGTTGCTAACACATCTCCACAATATATATATATATACAGGGGTTGTCAAAATTATAGACCCCCCTCATATGTACATAGAAAAATGTTTATTTTATTACAATAAGGAATGATATTGATCTGCTAGGTGCACATCTACGTGAGACTAATTACGACTATCTGATACTCTAGCATCTCTCTTTTAT